AGTGCGTCCTGCCTTCCTCTGCAGGGGAGAACAGGTCCCTACCCACCTCCGTGTGACATCCCCTCACATAGCTCTATGTTGCCAACAGATCCCCTCAGAGTCTCCTCTTCTCCAGGCCGAAGAGACCCAGTTCCCTCAGTCTTGCCTCATACGGCGAGAGATTAAACAGGTTTGCTCCAAGAACAGAGCCCTGGGGGACCCTGCTTGTCACTGGCTGCCATCCTGATGATTCCCCGCTAATGGTTACCTTCTGCTTTCAGTCAGTCAACCATGCCCTAATCCATCAGACAGTGCTTTGGTCTATCCCCAAACTCCTCAGTTTCTCCACCAGGATATCATGGGACACTTTGTCAAAGGCCTTGCTGAAATCCACGTATACCACATCCACCGCATCCCCTCCATCCAGCCATCTCGAAACCTTGTCATAGAATTCCACAAGGTTTGTCTGGCAGGACCTGTTTTTGCAGAAGCCGTGTTGTGTGGCTGCCAGCCTCCCTTCCCTATCTAGCATCACTAGATGTCTCTCTATTATGAGCCTTTCCATTGTTTTTCCTACAATGGATGTAAGGCCATTTTACACAGGAGGCAGTCTACCTATTCTTGACCTTGTGTTATTTTGGTACATAAATATAGTATTATGGCACCATGTACACAACATGCTTCCTAATGCTGGGAACTGATTATAGCAATAAAAATTATGCATTTTAGTAGCTGATGAACTCATTCTAGGGTGACATCCAATAAGATGTTCCATACCTACTCTTGCATACAGAAATTTACCCTTGAAAAAATAACAAGTTCAAAACTAGTTATCAGATATAAACATACATACTAACTCATTGAGATTCATTATTAACACTACCCATTTCGGTCCAATATAGTATAAGCACAAGAGGGATACAACAATTCTATTCTACCACCTACTCCAATGAAGTATACAATCAGTATCAATTGTCGTAGATTCTCATAGGTTCACTTAAACATCTTTGTCATATACCCAGCTGGGGTGGTTATAAAAGTGGATTACCACCTCTTACAAAGAAAGCTTAATGGAACTAAGAGAGACACGCCACTGTAAGTAAGTACAAAATCAGTGGCTACTAAGTCCAGATTAATTCATGCAGGATACAGGCCTCTATCAACCTTCCCGAGAGTAAAGGTGCTTTGAGGCAATCCTTTTTCCACAAACACAGAATGTTATGCTGGGTCAACTGAAAGAATCAGAATCATAGCACCGGAGGAGATCTATCTCAGAGATCACCCTGCATAGCAGGGTGTAGCTCCATCATCCCTGTCAGCTGGCCATCCAGCCCCTGCTTAAATATTTCCAGCAAAGAAGAACCCACCACCTCTCAAAGCAAACAGCTCCACTGCTGCACAGTTCTCACTGTTAGGAGGTTTCTCCTAAAGTTTAGCAGATATCTGTTTCCTGAAAGATCCATCTGTTTGTTCTCATCCTGCTCTGGAGCTACAGAGAACAAGTCTGCTCCAACTTCTGCATGACAGCCTTTCAGATATGTGAAGACTGCTGTCATATCTCCCCATCATATTTTCTTCTTCAAGCTAAACGCACCAACTTTCACAACTGTTCTTCCTGTTTCCAGACCAAACTCCTCGTCATTGTGGCTGTTATTTTCTGGATGGGCTCGATCTACTCAATGTTCTTCGCAAGAAGTGGGTACCCAAAAAGCATGATTGTCTGCAAGCCTCCTATCCCCACATTGCTTTTTCCCTCTTCTTCCTTCAGAGAAAAGAAAACCTTTGCAGAAAAGACAGACCTGCCCTTTGACCAGTAATACTAGAAGCCCTCTGCAAGCACCCTGATACTTACCTCATGGTGGATGTGGTTGTCTTACCTCAAATAAGCACTTGCATAGGACTCAGAGGTCAAAGCAGGAAATATTGTGCATGCTGCAAAGCGTGCAGACACTGCATATACGGGACACTGGCACTGCCCCATGAGCACACACCTCCCACTTAGTATAGTTATGTCACACTGTCTTTCTTGCAAGGAATCAAGGCAGCTTATATGGGCCTACTCCTTTTCATGCTATCCTCCTAACAACCTTATGAGGTAGGCTGGACTGGGAGTCCATGACGGGCCAAGATCAGCCAGTGAGTTTCAACCAGAGGGAGGGCTGCAGCTCAGGCATCCCCAGTCCCAGTCCAACACTCTGACTGACACACCACACCACTCCCCAGTGTGACACTCCACATCTCCTCTATGTTAGTGGGGAGCGTTAGGTGGCCTTATTGGTTCTTCCGATGATACTCCTTCCCTTTTTCCAGCAGGGAACCCAAGGGAGCTCACATAATCCTCCTCTCCCTTTAATCCTCACAACAACGCTGTGAGGCGGGGGGGGGGTCCTCTGACTGCCCCCAAGTCATCCACTGAGTTCCGTGGCCAAGCGGGGTCCCGAGACCAGATCTCCCGAGTCTCCGACCACCATGCGACGCTGCCCCTGCACTTACTATTTAATTTCGGAGCCGCCGAGAGCCGAAGGGCTCTCCCTCACCTCACCCGCCCGGCCTCGCACGGCCACGGTTCCCACGAGCCCCTCTCCTCCCGCAGTACCCCTGCCCAGCCACCCTCGCGGCGCCCCTCATGCTCCAGCCTCCCGGCGGCACGCTTACCGACTCCCCGCGCCCCTCTTCCCGCAGGCTCAGCCGGAAAGACGCGAGGCAGCCCGGGGCGACCCGCCGGGCGCCGCGAAGGAGCGGGGGGGGGAGCGGGGCGGGGCGGGGCAGCGACTCACCCGGCTCCCGGCTCCCCGGGGGAAGGGAGGACTGACGCGCGGGAGCGCCTCAAGGACCTTCCGCGCGCAGCCGCGACAGACTGGCTCACCCGCCCGTTCGCTCTTGTGCGCGCGCGCGCGCGCCCCCGCCTTCACCCCTCCAGCAGCACGCCCCACGGGCTCCAACCTTCCACGTCCTCACAACATCCCTCCCTCTTCACCATCCTGAGAGGGGAGGGGGCGGGTCCGAAGAGGTCATGTGACCACGCTGTTTTTCTCTCCCTCCCTCCGCTTTCCGTTTTCCTTGCCCTTCTGAAGTGCCTGCCGGGAAAGGTAGTCCTTTGAGTCCTAGATCTGCGCAATTAGCGGGGAGGCGATGTTTCGCATTCGTAAACGGCTGCCCTTGGAGGAGGAGGAGGAGGAGGAGGGAGGACACCCTTTCAAACTGCATTTCAGGAGTGTCATTTTTTCCTAATTCTTTAACAAAAAATTATTTTATTTACTTGTTTGCTTGTTATTGCACTTGTATCCCACCTTTCCTCTTCGACTTTGAATCTGGAAAGAGGATTCTAGTCCCTAGTATCCACTTGACCCTGAACCTTCCTGGGTGACTCAGTCTAACCTACCTCACAGGGGTGTTGTGCAGATGGAATGGACAATGACTCTGTCAGCTGCCCTGGGTTCCTTGGAGGAGGAAAGATGGGAAATAGATAATACCCATTATATTATTTATATATTTCCAGGCTTTCTTTTGGGACAAGAATACCGTTAAATATGTTAAATAAACAGCCCCACTGACTATGATAATTTGCATTCTGCTTTTCCACCAAATGCATATAGCACTGGAACCTCAAAGGCATTCTGCAGTGTCAAAATAAGGGCAGAGTTCTGCAATGAACAGCCCTGGCAAGGAGTTCCACAATTTTAACACCACTTCCAAAAGGGTCTCTACCCCATGCTGCCATCCATCACACTGCAGAAGATGGAGGAACCTAAAGCAGTTATCCTTTGAGGGATCTGCCCCAACAAGAACGTGAGTGCAACACAATGGCTTTAAAACAGGGACGGGGAACATGTGGCTGCCAGATGTTGCGACTATAGTTCCCACCATTGCTTACTGTTGCCTGTGCTGGCTTGGGCTAAGGGGGGTTACAGGTCAGAGCATCTGCAGGCCATCCATTCCCCATCCTCACTGCAAATGACACAGCCAGCCGTTTCCAAAGAGCTTTCAGATGTGTGGCTTTCAGACGTGTGGTCTATGTAGTGTCTTGCCCCTGGGGATGCCTCTGCAACCCAGCTTGTTCCCATACTATTATGGTGACCCCAGAGGTCTCAGGAAGATCAGACCCCAATAAAGATATTCTCTATCTCTAACACCACTAACTTTTAATTACCAATTGAACAATATGTTATATGCAGCAGTGAACAGATGTTTCCCCATATAAGAATCTAGAAGCCTGTTGCAGGCTTAACGTTAATTTTATTTGGATCCATGTTTCTGCAAGTGAAGAGCGGTTGACTGCTTTGTTTTGTCTGCATCATCCCTACAGATGCTCCAACCGGGTATTTATGCCTTAGGTAGTTTCCCTGCAATAGAGACGGAACGGTTCTGATTAAGTGTTAAGATGGGTCACCAATCTTATTTGGTAAAGTACGTCATTTGGGTCATCAACATCATAAATTCTTATGTCCTTTACACTCAGTAGCTTACACTGCTTCAAGTTTCTATTAACTGAAATGGCTGCAGTAAGGGAAAATTAAATTAGAACAAGCAATGAAAAATAACTCCCTCTAATGGAATAATCAGATAAATGGGATAATCAAAATGCCCTCTGGCTATAAACAGAATTCTCCTGAGAAAAGTACTGAATTATATAATCACATGTAAATATATGCAGAAAGGGGAAACACTAACTGCAGCTTTGGATGAAGTTGTAGAAACACCACTTCTTTAAAAATGTTGACAATGAGCTGGTGTATAAATTTGATGCAACGTTGTCTTCAGACCTGAGCCATCTTCAGCTCGCCCAGACTCAAAAAGTTCAAGGGAGCCACGTGGCCTTTGGCAGGAAGCACTTTAGGAAGAGTTCATCCAAATCCCATTATCCTCTCTGGTAGCAGAACTATTATTTTTTCCTTGGGTTTATACTACATACAAGAAATAGTTGTAATTCATGTCTTTTGCTTGATTGACTAAAGTCATTATGCCCTCGTCTTCCATTCTCAAGACTCCAATCTAAAAACACAGGGGAAAAACAAACCCACTCCTGTTCAAACATCTTTTATTAAGAATGTCAGCTTGTTAATATACAAGAAAACCTTGATTTACTCTGGAGTTATGCTGAATTTTATGCTGCTGTTGCTCACAAACATGTAACAGCTTGCATGCAGGTGTTATGCGGTTTTATTTTTTTTATTTTCTCCCTTTTTGGTCTTCAAAAGGGTGAAGTACCTGGCCTCAATCAAAAACTCAACAGCACAGAAAATAGGGCCATTTCCCCCTTATATCCAGAGGATCATCTCCTCAAAGAGTAGTATCTGCTCACACCAAGTTTGCTTTACCCTGAAACATCTTCAAACAATTCACAGCATAGTTTTGTAAGGTGACTTTAAGAAAAGTGAGTTGCTACTACCAATATTTATTATTAGATCAAGGGTATTTATAAAGCTGCTCTTTTCAGATACTGTGCATATAAACTCCTGCTTTTTAAAAACAAGTATAATAGTCATAAAAAGCAGAGTTCAAGGAAAGTTTTTGAAACAAGTTGCAAGTCTAGCAATAAAAGTGTTAATAAAACATGGCGCCTAGTATCTCTAGCGCTATTGGATGCGCTGTACATTCTGGCCATGAATGTCAAGAAGAACAAGACAATATATTAATTTCTTTTCACCTATACAGGCAGAACTGCCTCAAATCTCCCTAGCTGCATGTGCATTTATATATATACATATTCCAAGTTTCCATTTTGATAAAAGTGCAGTGAAATTTTCAAATGGGCACAGCATTATCAGTCCATTTACTATACCAGCAGGTTCACTTAATCAGTCTTTTTGTCAGAGATTTCCATAGGTGCACTGCCAGAAAACCCATTTGCGATGCCATTACTTTTGGTCTGAAAAACAGAGGGGGGAAATGCCATTAATTACACATTCAGATCATTGGAACATTCCATGGAAAAAGCTGGGTTCAGACAGCACAAGTCATGGTGGTTTCTTACCACTGTTGGTCTGTCATGTTGTCTGAACCAGTCATAGTTATTTCCTGTCTAAAGACTATCATACTCTTTCAAAACTATGTTGTATGATTTCTCTGAACCACCATGGCTTGTTGTGCTGCCTGAATCAAGGATCCTGGTTTCCATGGTCCTGCTGTACAACCAGAGCTGTCTTGACTGGGAATAGTGGCATCTGCAGAAGCTGCTCCAGCCAGCCATCCCCTGCGTGTGGACCAGTAAGAAGAGACAGGCGACACGGACAGGGAGGGATACACCTCGAGACCGGATTTTAGGTGCCTAATGGGATATGTACCAGCAGTGAGAGGAGCAGGGAAGATGGAAACTACGGTGAAGTAGGAACCACTTGATCGTCTGTCAAGAAGACCATACTAATAAACCATGCGCTGTGCTAACTAGTCACCATTGCTAGTCATCTCCTACTCGTTCACACTCACATCCTAGGGGACAACGTTGACTGGAACTACAGTATCCAGATATGCATACATCAGTTATTTAGTCCTTTTTGAGTCCTGTCCTTTCTGAGCCAGTACTGGGGAATGCAGGGTGTTGTAGGACTTCTTTCTGTCTCAGCATTCATGGGGGTGTACCCTAAAGCACTTTTCTGCAGCCCTATAGTGCTGGCAGATCAAAGAGGATGAACGTGAATCTTGAGAGCAGCCCAGCACGACTTGCTACCAGCCCCACCAGCTGTGCTTCACAGCATGACAGGACAAGAAAGAAAGTCAAGTAAGACCAGGGGGTTGCATGTGGGGAAAAACTGAAAGGTAATCTGTTAACAGTGCAAGAGCCCTGCTTCATCGGGCTTTGGGACCATCTCTCTCAGCAACCTGTTTCCAGCAGAAGGCATATGAATTAGATCCAACCAAAGGTCCACCTAATCTAATCTAGCATTTTGTTCCCAGGGGCCCTGATGGGAACCCCACAATTCAAGAGTTCACCTGCATGCTTCCGCTCATGCATCTCAGCAACTGGAACGAACACGCTCACTGCCTGCCATACTGGAAGTTAATATAAAACCCACAAGCAAAGCATGAAGGGAACAGCCCTCACACCCCAGGTGATGTGTAAAAATTTGGGAAAGTTTAAAGGAAGCACCAGATACTACTATTATATTCACAGTGTGGAAGCAAAAGCCCCTCAAATGCCTTCTTTTCAACTGGGGAGGGGGGCTTGTCTCTCCATCCCCAGTTTGCCTTCACCCATGCTTCATTTCCAGTTGGAGTTGTCTGATGTCTCAAGAGGAGTAAAATCATGCATGTTTTCATAGAGTTAATTCCCTGCTGTGTTGAATGGAGCTTATTCATATTTAAGCATGCATGGTATTACAGCATTAGAGCAAAGACTAAAGATTGCCCACAGAAAATCCCTACAGAGACCCACCCCCGATTTAAAAAACACCAGAGCAAAACCAGAGCATATTTCCAAATTGGCTTCAAAAGGAGTGACTGTTCTAGAACAGAGAATCACACCCCTGGGAACACATAGCTACAGAATGCAAAACAGATCAGCAGCTCTATCAGGTCTAAGGTCACATGAGAGCATCTAGTGACTTTGAAATGTTTTCCACTGCCAAAGCAATGTGATTAGCTTGTGCTTCATTCCAAACAGGGCTTTCCCCCATTTTATTGAACTGAGGCTTACTTTAGAATGCTCAGAGTCGTCTGTGGAGCTCTCGTGCTCGGTCTCACTTCTATTTGCAGCACTACCCTTTTGGTCTTGCTGTGGAACTTCCTGCACTGCTTTCTTGGGCCAAAGACGCTTGATGAATGGAGAGATGATGGGATAGAGATACGGCTCAAGGAACCTTTTATAGACCCACAGCAGAACAGGAATGACGATACAGGGAATGCACACCATGGTTCTTTCAGGTTCTGTGACAGGAATGTGCTGAAAACCTAAATATGACAACATAAAGCAGTCACAATTTAATACATTCAGTGGTCTATGCAACACTGACAAAATGTACAAAGTATTCTACATCTAAAAAGGAAAAAAAGTTATTCCCGAATGGTAAACCATAAAGACAGGAGAATCAAAATACAAACAAATGAAAATACTTAAAATCAAATTACAGCAATATAACTGTGATTGGTTGGAAACCTTGAAACTGTGGTCCTAAGCACAGAGAGCTGGCATCAAGCCTCACCAGAACTCAGCAGGACAGACTTCCAAGTAAACATGTGTTGGATCAAGCCATGTGATCAACACAATTTGGACCAACACAGCAAGTCTGTGAGTGCTGCATTCTTTTCACTTGACAATTGATTTTTGTTACAAGGCAATATAGAACAGAAGAGGAAAAGTAGGAAAGCGAAACAGAGGGTTTTCATTTACAAAATGAGCAGATTGGGGAAAGTGTAGAAATCTATAAATATATCATCAGGATTTCAGAACAGGAATCTGGTTCAAGTTAAATTTCCTTTGCACAATGCTGGTGAATGAAGAGGCATTCACATGAGCTACACATTTTTCTTAGTCCCACTACAGGCAACAAAGATGACATTTACTTGAGCATGCATAAGATTTCAGCTTTAAAGGACAAAATGCTGTAGTTGAGATGACTGCTGTCTCAGTCGTTCTCACTTTGAAAGCAATTTTAATTTAAAAATAATATGCTGTCATTTGTATACATCAATACCCCTAAAATGAATTCCGTTTGCTTCTCAAAATGAACAAAAAAGCAAGGGCAAGTGTTGAACTTGTCCACCCAGCATAAGCTGAGCTGACTACTCTTCCCTCCCTCCTAAGCAAATGGCTCTAACACTGTAATGCAGCATTGCAAGGGACAGGGAGGGAGGGGTTGCTGGGGAAATGGCAGCGTGGGTTAATGACCCCTTTAACGAACCCATGCAATGGCCTGGCCAGGTAGACTGCCTGTGCCCCTAAATAACAACTCAGTTTAAACACAGCCACTTTCACCTCTTTGGAGTATGTTTACCAGGGTAGCATCCAAGACATTTCAGAGCAATTTCTGAATCTGCTACTGAAAAAGCAATCTTTTGATAATACATTAGATGTTGAATAAACAAGTGGAGAGATGTTTTGTGGATGCTAAAGAGGTGAAGGCAAGACATAACAAAACCAGGCTGCAGATAGGTACCAAGATAACAAAACCACAGTTTAAATTACAATTTTATATTGGCAAGGCTCAAAAAGTAACCACACCTTTGAGTTTACAAGAGCTGAGTGGGTCTATCAAGGGCAGGATATTTTGGAGGGCATTCCTTCATAGAGTCACCAGAAGTTGGAGAAAACTTGAGAGCAAGTAACAACAATCATGGCATAAAATATTGTTAAGTATTGATTTGTTGAGTATGTACTATGGACTGAAGGGCAGAGACCAGTGCTGCTCTTGCCTAGGTTCAAAATTGAGCAGTTGAGTTGTTAGTGTTCAGTCTACACAATATAATTTAACTTCATTACAGAGCTGGTGATCAAAGCTTTCCAGAAGAATTAAGAACGTAAGAAGTCATGCTGGATGAAACCAAGGGTCCATCTAGTCCAGCACTCCGTTCACATGGTGGCAAACCAGCTACTCAAAGGGTCATTCAAGCAGGATGAGCAGAAGAGTTCTGCCTGCCCAAGCTCCTCAGCAACTGGTGTATGCAGACATTACCTTTCAGTTTTTGTTCATGGGATTTTGAGACACATGTAGGTGCTGTTACAAAGAGCTGCAATGTGCCTGTTTTATTTTGTTGAGAACAATGCCTTTTAGAGCTCTGGAGCAATACATTCAATTATTTACAGCCAGATCCTATTCCTGTTTACTTGGCGCTTTATCTAGATAACCAAACTTTCTGTTTTAGAAGCAACTCTAAATTCCTTTCCCAGAAAAACTGGTTAGAAATACGCAGCTAAACAGGCCCCTCTTTGTTCAACAGGGCTTAGTTCCAAGTGTGCCAAGACAGCACCCGAACACATCAGTTCTAGTCATTGAACCCACTCAATTCAGAGCTTCCTTCTAGGTAAATGAGTATAGGATTACAGTCTTAATTAGTGACATGTAGAGAATCTGATATAGCCAGCCAAAAACTTATCTATGATACCTGGAATCCCTCATTTACCTAGATAGACAGGTGCTTTAGAGTGCAATCTAATACATGTATGGACAGAAAAGAGCATCCCACAATTCCCAGCATTTCCCAGACATCCATACTGGCTGGGGAATACTGGGAGTCATAGGTATTTTCTTTTCCCATCCAAGCATGTATAGGACATCCCGAGTCAATCAATTAAAGGTGGCCTTTTATACATTTTTAGACAGAAAGAAAACCCTACCCTCCCCAGCCAGAATGCACAGGACCGCACCCTCATTTTTTATTTTACCTCACTGGTTATCCTGAGAAGCTTCCCACCATTAATGGAAAAGGGGTAGGAGAAAGAGCTCAGCTTAGTCTCACAGAACAAACGAGTGCTGTCCTCCCTATCCATTATTTTAAATGACAGAACATTTCTCCACCGGAGTCATTAAAAGGACTGTACACAACATTTGTTTTTCCTATTAGTTTCAACAAAACGTTCGTCAATATATACACACAACACACACACAGAAATGAGCAATTGCTTTCATCTCACCATTAGGGAGCGGTGAAGAGGCATGGAAAAAGAGGGAAAGAAAACAAAGCGCCCCCGCCCCGCTTTACCTGTCCACCTGCGCGCTCCCCAGACAAGGCCCCGCGACCACCGGCTTACCGGCGCGAATCGCCAACGTCTCGACGAGCCCAGGCGCGAGGAGGGGGAGAAAGCTCCGTTTCCGGAAAGGACTGTCGTCATTCAACGCGCTCCAATGGGAGACGCGGGCTGCGACGTGACGTCACGGGAAGGGAGCGGCTCGGCGAAGGCGCCATGACACGAGAGGCGGGGAGGCGTGGGCGGGAGGCTCCTTCCCCGCCCCGCCCCCGTGAAATCTTGACTGCGACCGCCTTGCTCACGTGCAAAGGTGCGCTCCGGTTTTTTTCCCCTTACTTATCAGTCCACTGTTTTTTTCTCAGAACTTTTAAGTTGTGTTTCTTCTGTGACAGAGATCTGTTTTCTTGCATTTTGTAAAGCTTCGAGTGAGCGATACGGGATAGAACGAGAGGAGCATAAACACTGTTCTTCAAAAATATATGCACTGCCTTTCACTCCTGTGCAATGATAGGGCAGCGGCGGCGATAATGAGTACAATGCAAGTTTCATCCTAAAGGTTCCGAGGACCTGGACTCTATCAAAGAGGCCTACTCCCAGGTTAAGTGTGCATGGGATAGCGTTAAAAAGAAACAGAAAACAGTGGTCTCCCAGGCCATCTAGTCTGATCCCCAGCTCTGCTCATGACATGCCTACCATGTGCATGTCCAGCCTATCCTTGAACACCTTCACCGATGGAGCTTCAACCACCTCCCCTGGAGGCCCCTTCCACACCCGGGGGGTCCTATCAGGAAGTAATTCCTGGAATCCAACGTTGGTTCCCTGAGCTTTGCTCCATTGGAACACGTTTGGCCCTCCTCCAAGGGGAAAACAGGCCTCTACCCATCTCCGTGTGACACCCTCTCACATACCTGTATGTTACCAACAGATCCCCACCGAGTCTCTTCTTCTTCAGGCTGAAAAGACCCAGTTCCCTCAGTCTCTCTCTTCATATGGCTTCCCCTGCAAACAGCCACCATCCTAGTGGCCCTTTGCTGCACTGATTCCAACCTTGCTACATCCCTCTTGTAATGAGGACCCCAGAACTGAACACAATACTCCCGCTGCAGGTGCACCAGGGTCATTTAGCATGGCAATAATACCTCTCTCAATCTAGAAGCCATGCTTCTGGCTATGCAAGCAAGGGTGGCATTCACCCTCTTGACCACGGTGTCACTCTGCTGACTCATATTTAGCCTGCAGTCGACCAGCACCCGAGGTCCTTTTCACAAGTGCTGCTCTCAAGCCACTTGTCCCCTAACCTGTACTATGACACCTATTCCTATGCCCAAGTTCAAGACCTTGCACTTATTCACATTGAATGCCATCCTGTTGCCCCCCCACCCACTTCCATAGCCTGTCCAGATCCTTTTGGATCCGGAGTACCTGCCCCTGTTGTGGCCACTGCCCCCATTTCAGTATTATCTGTGAACTTGATAAGCAGACTTGGCGCCCCTTCTTCCAGGTCATTGATGAAAGGATTGAACAGGATCGGTCCCAGGACACAACCTTGAGGGACCCCACTTGTCACTGACCGCCATCCCGATGATTCCCTACCAACAGTTACCCTCTACTTTTGGTCTGTCATCTGTGCCTGTTCCCTCACATCAGTCACTGAATCCCCTTCCTCATTAAGTGGTTGCACTGCCTCTCCCCCCTTCCTCTTGCTATTTACATGTTGATAACCCTTTTTGTTGCTCCTAATATTCTTTGCAAGTCCCAGCTCATAATCAGCCTTAGCCTTACAAAGAATCCTTCTGCAATGGGCCTCCTTCTCCTGCTATACCCTTTTGTCTATACGGAGGTTCCTCTTGCACCTAATCCCTGCTAAACGTACAGGGTCCTCCTGTACAGGGTCCTCCTCCGCATACAGCTAGAAGCAGATGGACTAACCCATGCTTATCCCAAAGGAACCATCAAGATTGGCTTCTATCAAGGACTGGATCTGTTAAAAACTTGACAGCATAGATCTATCAAGTGATTATCCTGCAAACCAGGCAAGTTGCAGTTATTTGCATAAGCCCCTCTAAACACACTGTTGCAATGCTTGCCAAACAACTTTTTTTGCTGAGACTGGGTAATTTGCAATGAGTCCTCTAACAACAAGCCTTGTAGTTCCTTCAACATTTCAAATTCTGTCAATCCTACAATATTCACATTTCACTTTAATCAGTCAAGGCCTTGGACAAATAACTAAACCTGTCAAATTAAATTGGTTTAGGACCTCTGACTCTTCAAGGAAATAGGATTACAATCTTTTCTAGAAGGAATACAGGTACTCACTGGGTTAAAAATGAGTTCCATTCCTGAGAACGTCCTTAAGTTGAATTTGTGTGTAAAATCACATGAGTAAGCATGTTTGTTTTTAGTATGATTTACCTTTCTATGCATACAAAACTTAAAAACATTCTATATTCGCTAAAGTGTTAAACACAATACTGCATTGTAATAAGGATAATAGTACAATAGTAATAATAAAGTCAGTACAGGTACTGGAGAATCTGTGTGTATATATACAGCATTGTAAAAATAAAACCCAAATAGTTCTTAAACACTTTGGAACATAGAGGAATTAAATTGTTTGCCTTCTGCATCTGAATGTAGCAGATTGGTTCGCTCAAACCAGTATCCCATATCATATTTGAGAACATTTAAACTCAGCAAAAACTCAGAATTGTCTGCCTTGTATCCAATACCCTTCTGTCCTGTGATCAAGGCCAATTGCTCATTCCTGCTAATCTTCAAAGTGAGCAACCATGGACTGTGTTATACCTGTGACATTCCTGGCTACACAGGATGTCTCTTCGCATGCAACTACACTCAAAGCCCTCAATTAATGTATTACAGTATTTCAGCTTTCAATTGACCAGCAAGCCAACCATAAATGATGAATTCATGTCCCGTGCATATACTCAAGCAGGTAAACAGTATTTTACAGCACCACTCAGTACTTGCCAATCTGGCAACTGATGTTAAACCTCCTTGGATTGTAGTGTTATGACAGTTAAAACACCAGACATAGAAATAAGTGAGAGGAACCTATCGCAACAGGTTAAAAGATGCGTCTTATATGCATCTTAAAAGTGGTTTTGAAATCTGCAAAGTATCAGTTGGTGATATTTGAAGATACAATGGGCATTCCATAACCCTCCTTCAAACAAAAAAGGAGCAATTAGACAGTTAACTCATATTTTATATTTATTTGTGAACTAAATGAATCTTTATTCCCGAGCCATCAGTTTCTGCTTCTTCAGTTTCTTCTGGGATATCTGGGGGAAATAATACATCATATTAATGGTCAATTACCACAAATATCACATATGCTTTCAGCTTGCTATAAAAATAGTAACCACCTCTACAACACAACCATAAGGAAGGCTGAGTGCTGAAGGATTGAGGCCTTTGAGTTGCGGTACTGGAGGAGACTCCTGTGAGTCCCTTGGACCGCAAAGTGATCAAACCGGTCAGTCCTAGAGGAGATCAACCCTGATTGCTCTTTAGAAGGGCAGATACAGAAGATGAAACTCAAATACTTTGGCTACCTAATGAGAAGGAAGGGCTCACAGGAGAAGAGCCTAATGCTGGGAACAACAGATGGCAGAAGAAGGGGATGGAAGAGGATGAGGTGGCTGGATGGAGTCACTGAAGCAGCTGGTATGAGCTTATGTGGACTCCAGGGGATGGTGGAGGACAGGAAGGCCTGGAGGAATGTTGTCCATGGAGTTGCAATGGGTCGGACATGACTTTGCGACTAACAACAATAACTACAACACAGCATGTATTCAGCCACTCTGAACAAATTAGAAATATGAGGGTCACAGCAATATATTTTTCTATTAGTAAGTCAAAAAATTCCTGGAACAGCAAAAAGTAAATCAGTTTTGTTATTTACCAGAGTAAGTGGGAAGATTCAAAGCTTGCCATTTATGTGCTTTAGTTTCCATTATTTTTCATAATTGTGCTTATGAACCTTTAGATAACTAGACAATCATTCAGTTCACAGAGAGACTCCACTTGCGCATTACCCCGGACAACTCCCGGCCTATTTAACCCAGGAATTGTGGGAGAAGTGCACAAGCACCCATGTGCCATTTTCACTGCCAATTTACAATGTTTCATCAAGTCTGAACCCATGGGCAAACAACCAATCCGAATTAACCAATTACCTGCACAGTGTTGTCAGTTTACCTGGGTCTGCTGACTACCAGACAGTCCCTTTGTAAAATATTTGCAAAAGCAGTACTTAAAACTGCTTTGAAAGGATCGTCCTTGTCACTAAAGTGTACCTTAAGCTACAACCTTCAGCATACGTATTAGTGAGAAAGGGGCATATATTAAGACTGCACTTATATTTCCATTAAATAGATTATTCGGTGATAATGTGAATCAAGTTAAGCCAAAGTGTTACTTTGTTTGGTGAACAAAGAAACACATGAGCAAAAGCTCCTTGGGCAGATATGCTGACCAGTTCCATACCTTCTTCTTCTGGGCAACTTCTTCTTCTGGCTTAGGTACAATCTGCTCCTTCTCTGTGAGAATCATCTCAATGTGGCAGGGAGAACTCATATAGGGGTTGATGCGACCATGAGCCCTGTAAGTTCGCCTGCGCATTTTTGGGGCTTTGTTAACCTGAATGTGCTCAATTACCAAAGAATCTACATCGAGGCCCTGGAGGGAGGGAACATTTTAGAAATGTCTTATTAGAATCCCAACAACAAAAGTGAATCTTAAGTTTTCCAAACCACACCTGAAGTGTTAAATGGCACGGAAGAAGGAAATCAGGTCTTTCAACAAGAAAATTGATCAAGCAATTACAGTGGCTCAGAATCCATATTTGTTTCATGATTATTCCAAAGGTGTCCTAAGATAGTCATCATCGCCACCAAAGCCCATTACAATTTCTTAATGATACCCAAGAAGCTATGCAGCTCATGCTAGTGGCCACTATGAATCTTCACCCTAAGGCACACAGTCACTGTGGCTTATTGTAATACCTGAAATCAGCAAGTGTGGGTTGTTGCCATTGTTGACATACCACCCACAACTAAAGGGACCTTTTGGGGGTGGTGGGTAGTTAGCAATGGCAATAACCTACTCTGTGCGAGGTTCAGATATCATAGTATGTCAGGGTAACTGTTCACAGCAGCTTGAATAAACACAATGTCATTGGCGTATGCCACAACTCAGCATGGCAATCATGCAACATGGCCTAATTTGTTTCTCATTTCTCACATCTTGAACAACATTTCTGTTAACCCCAGCTCCTTTCCCCTACAACAAGCTCACTTGGCAAAGGTATCTCTTCATTTCCCATCCTAGTTCCAACCCATTAATGAAATCATTCACCTTTGCTCCATTCATTTCATTCAAGCAAAAATCTTGGAAGGAATCACTACTAGAAGTAAAGCATGTCTTACATGTGGAAAATCCCAGATTCAATTTGCAGCATTTCCAGTTACAAAGCATTTCAGGTATTAGGACCAAGAAACTTTGGAAAACTAGTTAGAATTCTATCAGATTTCTCCTCCTTCATCTCTTCTGCTTTTGAGTTCTCTTATCTCTTTCACTATTTAGGCCTAACAAACAATAATAGTATTTTAGAAGGGAGCCTCAATGCAGAACAAAACCTAAACACCTCCACCTTACTTGCCAGTATCTGCCAACCTGGATTTAATTTTACCTTGAGCTCAGCGTTGCTCTCAGCATTTTTGAGCATATGCAGGAGGAACTCGGCGCTCTTTTTTGGCCAGCGCCCCTGCGTCCAGCCCCACTGCTTGGCCTGAAAGATCAAGAGTTGAGTAGTGTGAGTTTTCTTCTGAAACACAATACTCACACACCTGGACTTTTTTTGCAGGTTGCTCAGAACCAAAGTTTTTTTTTCACGGTTAATCCAAAGGTGTCCTAAGAAAGTCATCACAGCAACCAAGACACATGCATGCAAGAACATGAAAGACTGGTGAAAGGGTCCAGAACGTATTCTATCCAAAAAACTTAACTAATCTATACACAAAATAATATGGCCTGGCAAATCCCCATTAATTTCCCTGGTATTTTCTAATCCCTGCCAAAAAAAAACCAAACCAAACCAAACCCCCGCATGCTGATTGCTAGCAACTCAATCACAACAGCAAAAATAAACTTTTGCTGAAATAGATCATTTTAGCACCAGACTGACAGCAGGCAACCAAGACACTTCAGAAGCTTTAAAGCAACTTAGTCACAGGCTTTATCTGTATTGGATTAAGTATGCTCATGAGCTTGTTGTTGTTATTATTGTTGTTGTTGTTATTATTATTATTATTACATTTCTATGCCGCCCCTTGCCGAAGCCTCAGGGCGGCTTACAACACAGTAAGATACATTCAAATACAATAGAACATAATAAATTACCACTTAAATACAAAAATACAAAAATACACTGAGATACAATAATATAAAATTAAAATTAACAGTATAAAATAAGTAAATAAAGAATATAGGAGGAGAAAAGAGAAGGAAGAAGAAGTTGTCCTGGCCAGATCATATATTTTAAGTATTAAAATGATGTTTAAATAAAAAGGTCTTTACCTGGCGCCGAAAAACCAGTAACGACGGTGCCAGGCGGACCTCTTTGGGGAGTGAATTCCATAGGTTGGGTGCCACCACAGAGAAAGCCCTCCTCCAAGTACTTACTCTCCTAATTTCTTTCATGGAGGGTTCCCGGAGAAGGGACTCTCCCGCAGATCTCAAGGGGCGGTCGGGCATATACGGACGTAAGCGCTCGTTCAGGTAGCCAGGACCCAAGCCGTTTAAGGCTTTATAGGTCATAACCAACACCTTGAATTGGGCCCGGGCTTCAATGGGAAGCCAGTGAAGCTGACGGAGGACTGGAGTCATGGGAGCATAACGCCCCGTCCCCGTCAGCAACCTGGCAGCTCTATTTTGCACCAATTGAAGTGTTCGGACCGTCTCCAGGGGAAGCCCCACGTACAGCGCGTTACAGAAGTCTAGGCGGGAAGTCACCAGCGCGTGTGTCACCGTCGCCAGGCAGTCGTACTCCAGGTAGTGCTTCCACTACCTGTTGTTGTGCTTCCACTTTTAATATTATCAATAATCATCATTTACAATTCATTTATTATGGCCATTCTTTATCCAGCTGATACTCTATCACAAGTATTTGCAATGAATGCCTATTGGAGAGATTTTCTTCAAGCTGATATTGATTACAATTGACAGTCACTGCCCACTTCCAAATACATACCTGAGCACACCTGCCTACCCCACCATTGTAACGACGGAAGGGAACACACTGCTTCTTCAGAGTCACATCCTTCAAATACTTGGTGGCCTTCCGGATGTGCATACCCTTAATAGCTTGGGCAGTCTCCCGTGTGTTCTAAAGAAGGGAAAAGAATTCTATGACCACCTGCTTTCTGTTAGGTAGACTAGAACTATGAACCCCCCTGTTCAGACATGGTCCAACTCCACTATCTGTAAAATCAGTTAGTATAGCCTCCAAAATTAACCTAGGGAAGTAACTGCTCAGATCCACTTATTTGTTTTCATGATAATTCCAAAGGTGTCCTAAGTTGGTCATCACTGCAGTTATCAAGCACTTCCCACCCACTCCCCTGTAAACAAACCCTGATCCTTTCCATCATCAAGAATTTCACACTGAATGTTCAAATGGTATCCTTAATGGGGCCCTCTGATGACAGTAAGATGCATACAACAGAAGAGCTACTTGGATAATATTATGTAACAGCTTAAGTTTTATTTATGACTCTTCCACTGCCAAGACTGTATGAAGTTAAAACTGCAATACAAATCATAAGGCTCTGGAAAAGGATTCAAATACACCATCAAGCTTTTTTATAACAGTAAATGGTTGACAAAATAGAAGTTGTGACCTGGGGTCCAAACTCTTTGGCAGGCTATGGTAGCAAAGATAAAGAGGAGGGCGCATGACCCACCGTGATCTACCTCCTGTCCCTCACACCCCAACTCCCTAATTTGCAGCTGGAAAGGGTAGCTTCCTCTTTCAGGCATCTTAGCTTGACAGCAACCAGAAAAGCTACCCCACCATTTCATGCTCTGGAGCAGGGCAGAATAGCAGAGCTAGCTAGCTTGGCCAAGGAACTCAGGTAATGCAGCAACCAGCAATGCGGCAAAGAACCCCAGGCTTCCTCCTTAATTTGGCGCTGTGGAGAGGTCGAGACATCGTGTGACTGCCAGAATGATCCTCACCCACTTCTAAAGCTCCAAGTTTGGAAGGAAGGCTGGAGTTCATCACTCATCATCATGAATATAAAAATGGAAGTCTGGTTGAGAGCAATATGTCTTGCTTCAGTTCTCCCTCTTTTTTAAGCAAGGCTAAGATACAAGCTTTCAAAAAGTTACATGTGTCTCAGGGTGCAGTCCAAGCTTCAGGTCAGTACCTGGATAGATCATCTAGAAACCCAAACCACAGTGCCTCATGATGAAATAAAGGCTAGATATCAATGTAATAAGTAAATTAGGGCAAGAGAAAAGCTGTTACTGGAAGCTGACTTGCAGTCTTGCACTTGACTAACATTTAGTCCCAAAATAATGCACTGCTGAGATACTCTTTGATGAGAGAATACTTCACTAATCTCTCATTTTTAGTAGGAGAAAGAGGAATAAAAGTTAGATTTTACTTACCTTAAAATGGACACGAAGGTTGGAACCCCTGGACTTGCATGCTATGGAAGAAAAGAAAAAAATGTATAATTCTTAAGTTCTAACAATGAGTGAAGCCTTTTAAGTATGCACTTAATGTAATGTACTTACATTTTGTGGGATTCTCCGGATCAAGCGAGTAGCGGACCATTTTCAGAGGTTACCTAGGGGGGAAAAAAAAATCAAAGGATGCATATTTCAGTAACTCTGCAGCAATAACCTGCACTCTCAAACTGAGACAGAACAAAGCTGCTCAGAAATCTTACTGTTTTCATGGTTTAATCCAAAGGTGTCCTAGGAGTCATCAATGCAGCTACATTTTCATAGCAAAACTTTCAGATGGTCCTCCAATTCATGTATACAAAGAATTCAGTGTTCTACTACCTAAGCTTTTTAATTATCACAGAATCAGAATACTGCATTTAAGTCCTACTCCTCTCAGTGTTCCCCAATTGAGTTATAGACTTTGTTTCTGCCTAAAGATACACAGGACGTGAAAGGTGCAATTCCATGCAAGTTTAAAAGGCCTACAATTCCCAGCTGTGCTGGCTGAAGCATGCTGGGATTTGTAGGCCTTTTTTCCTTATCTTAAGGTACAATCATATGCAAGTTTAAAGAAATCTAAAAGGGCACCACTGTCTCTTACTTTATATAATCACTGCTAAAATGTCACTCAAGTCAATACACAACACCACGTGGATTAGAATAATCTCACATGGGATTATAAAATATTCTGCCCTACTCCTGCCATCACCAAAGACTTGTGTGCAAAATACAACAATACATGAACTGCTCTGTGTCAGCATTAGAATGGATCTACTTGGCAAAAAGAATCAGTTATTAAGAGGCCTATAGCGAGCCACAATTAGCTCTTAACATGCTATATTTCAGAACTTCTCAGTTCCCTGACACTAGGTCCTTTTAACAGTAAGCCCAACAAAGCCTCTGGGATGGAGAAACGAAGGAGCTAAAGGAGAACAACTCTTGCATCAAGATCCCCTTCCTTCCCATTAATAATATGTAAGTAATAAGATTTGCCCAATAATATCACAAAGCTTTTGCTTTCAAGCTTTTCTGGTAAAGCAACTTCCCAAACTAGGGCCCTCTCGATGCTTTGAACTTGAGTCCCGGGCCAGCATGGCTAATCCTCAGGAATGCTGGCCACCCTCGTCCTAAGCATCTGAGGCCACTGGCCCACCCCCCCCAGATTATTGCAAAACCAAGATGAAAACACCCCGACTTCTTACGAGACCTAGTCCGCAGCAAACCTCCAAAATGCCTCCATTCCCCTTCGCGGCCGCTGCACTTTCCCCACCCGCTTGCTTTCTCCCACTTCCCGCATGCGGCCCTAATGCCAGAGCGTCTACATCCGGGCCTTGGGGTTTTCAGCTGCCATTTTCACGGCTTCTGTCCCCCCCTCCTTCTCCAACCGATCTATCCCCCCCCGCGTGCCCCAAAACATGAAAATACCGCAACGGTCGAGGTGCTATAAGCTTCCCCTCTCCATATGGGGTGGTCTCCGGGGGCCCCAAGTAAGGATGGTAGCCCAGAGCAGCCGATATCAACCAAGGCCCGACGCAGGTCCATCACACTCACCTCAGAACGGCCACCACCGCCGGGGAAAAGGAAGAGCAAAGGATTCTGGGAGGATCTCGAGAGACTGCTGAGTCTCGCGAGAAGCCATCTGAAGCGCGTGGTTTCTAGTAAGGGACTGTGGAGAAACTGAGTGAGTGAAAACAAAACGAAGGAGTCAAGGCACTATGAGAAAAATCGAATACTAATCATGCAAAGTAAATATTGTATACGCTGTTCGTTTATTTTGACGTTTATTCTACGTTTTTGTGGGATGAAATCAAGCTCAAGGCAGGTTGCAAATACCAATATAAATTGCAAGCAAATTAAAAACAATCCTGGCAATAAGCATAAACAATGCTGCCCCTATATTCAAAGAAAACTCATAGCAACTAAGGCAAAATATTGTGCTAGAAATTGTGGCATATTGTCAAGTGAGTACTGTTGCAAAATGCTAGCTTAAGTACCAGGACATGAAATCTGATACATGCTTATACAGAAGTCAGTGTTTTCTACTTAAGGCTTTATGTGTGGGATATAACCCTGAGCAAGCCCCAGCTATTTATAATAATTCATTTATTAGATTTATATCCTGCATTTTCCCTACAATGAATTCAAAGCGGCTTTCCTCTTTCATTCATTTCAATATATATGGTACATCAGGGAGTTTCACAAGCAATGACAAAAAGTCAGGTAAAGGACCATTTCCAGATTTCAAGGGCCCTCTGGAACAAAGTGCATTGTGGGGGGTCTTATTGGCCATCAGCTGTTCCCTGGTGGGCATGTCTGCATTTTTATTTCCCACAATGCCCTGGTGTTTGGGGAAATCTAAGGAGCAGTCAGATTGAGCCGTTGCTAGGCATGCAGGGCCAGATTCTTTTCAAAGGGTGAGTGGTGGGCTCTGCCAGGCTCAGCAACTGCCCACGGATGGCTGACTTTGGCTTTGACCCTGAACAGGTCCCTGGTCCAAAGAGATGGCTAAGAAGCAAAGAAGAGGCTGTTCCTTTATGGGGAACTGCAAGCACTATCTTTGTTGCTGTACCATCCCAGTGGATCATGTAATAGTTACTTTTTCTGGAAAGCACACAGGATGAGCCTGTGCTTTTGTCTCATGTGAGGCAGAAGGAGGGTGGCACAAGAGCCTCTATGATTCACAAGGCTGTGCATGCAGCCCTGTTCTGATTGTCCGGGCCTCACTGTGAATGTGTGGAACTAGGAAAGAGCTTTGCAAAGCCTATTTGGAGCAGAAGGAGCTGCAAGATGCACCAGCTCAGACTACTTGAGACATCTGTGGTGCTCCAGATGTTTTGGCCTACAACAGCTCCCATCAGTCCTCACCCTTGGCTCTGGTTGCTAGGGATGAAAGAAGTTCTGGGCAAAACATCTGGAGGCCTCCACCCCTGGTCTGCATTGACTGGCAAGTGTCTCTAAGGTCTCAGGCAGAAAGAAGTCTTTCATGCCAGCTACTCCCCTTTTCGCTGGGGCTACCATGGGGTCATGGGGCCCTTTGATGCAAAATAGTTGCTATACCACAGGCCTCTGGTCCTTCCCCAAAAGCACCTTCAGGTTCTGACCTGAATAGTTTTCCTGATAAAAAAACAATTAAGTGGCAGTGTATAGTGTTGGATAAATCCAGATAAACCCTGGCAAAAAAGGGTTGCTTATGTGCCTTTGTGTTATAAAAATGCCGGCACCCCTTTCTCAGAAAGCACCCTAATTCCAAGCCAGGTTACTGTTTAGCATTTGCTGTTACCTTAAGAAGTGGGACCTGATGACTTCCCCAAGAAGCTGCCAGGGCTGTTGTTTGGCTGATCAGTAAGAGCTGGTCAGGCTGCCAGGTTAACAGCATTGCAATCACCCTCATTTGTATGCCAGGACCCACAATAATCCCTGTGCCTCAGTGATCATTAAGTTAATACCCTGCACTCAAATGCCATTGTATTGAGCCCCCTCTGCAGATCTCTCACCTTCTGACTGTGTTCCCCTTATTTCATCATCAACTGTCCAGCTGCTGGGCCCATGTGACTCAGAATCTCTAAAACACTCTGTGTATGTTCTAAAAGCTTGTAGTTGGTGGTGAGAACCACTATCTGGGAGCATCCCGTTGTAAGTAACTGCAGGGGGACTGGGTGATCTCACTAATAAAAATGTTGGGGTTCAAGGCAATTCAGTCTTCCCTGCGGGTCCGGGTAATTCATCTTCACCATCAGTAAAGAGACTCTGACAAAGCACAAAGATAAACACATGAACACACCACCAGATGGAGTTGTTTCATTCTCAATGACATTTTGACAGACTTCTGCATAATTTTAGGTGTAGAAACAGAAATGATTGTGATTTCTCAGCACCCTTTCATTTCCATGAGGACAAGGTGGAATTAATTTTGTTACTGCTGCTCCTCCTTTTTATTGTTTTTGAATAAATGCATAATTAGTTTTACTTTTCTCAGGCAATATGTACCTAACAAAATTGCTGCTGTTCACTCTGAACATGGTGTAACCAATTTATTTATTTTAGGATTGGTGGGGTTTTAATGTTTGTAAACCACCCAGAGAGCCCTCTGGGCTATTGGGGTGGTATATAAATGCAAGCAAGCAATAAATAAATAAAACACAGACACATGCATAAATAAAGACACAGTACAGTATGTCAGAACAAATCAAATTGGGTGCCAAAGAGGGCTGAATTTTTGCATAAATTAAATGTAGTTATGTGTATTTGCTTATTCTATAGATTCTGATTCTGCTAGAGGAATAGGAAAGAGTTTTATGGGCACTGAAGCCATGGCTCTTTGAGTAGTGACTTTGGATAATGAGAGCTGCAGTCTAATCAGGTCAGTGGAGGCTGGTTAAGAGGAACCCTGCTGCAGGCTTGTTTTAACAACCCTACCAGAGCTGCATAGAACCCTTTTAATCAAATTGTTTAGTTGCAGGTCCCCTCTAGTAAACAGAGTTCAGTAGTTAAGATTCAATGGACAATGCAGCTTGGCACTTTTGAGCCTGCCTTTGCAGCCAAAGGAACAGAAATTGGCTTTATTAAAGAAAGAAAAGCTGGAATTCTTAAGAACATTGTGGGAGCCTTGGTCTAAGTGTCTTTTAAGAGCCATGAGATTTCTCGGATTCTCCTGCAGTTTCATCCATTCACTGACTTTTGAACAAAAATGGTAAAGCCAATCAGCCAAGCACAAAGATTGCACCAACTTTCTCCCGTCTGCAGTTTCCAGGCCTGTCGGGCAGTGCGGTTATTAGTCATGCTGGCTGGGATGAAAGAGGAAGGAGTCACAGTCTATCTCATTTGCAGGGCTCCAGGTTGGCGCAGTGTAGATGAGCAATGTATGAGGAATCTGATTTGTGACTGGGGAATCCACTGGATTTCCCAGGCTTGGCTCCCTAGATTCTGGCCACTTTCCCCCTGCCTCCCAGCAAATGTGGGCATCTGGCAGGAAGTGGGTCCAAGTGCAGTTCTGCTTCACGCAGGTGCCTTGCAGGCTTTGTGTATTTTGCACAAAGAATGAGGTACTTTGTGCAAAAAAATTGCATGATTTGTGCAAAGATTTATGTACTTTGCATACTTTCTGCAAGGAAGTTGCTAGCATTCTTGAATGTTCACAGGCTCAAATATAGGGAAAATTTTATGCCATTTCACCATTACATCCAGTTATTAAATTCGAAGAATTCTCAGAAAATTTGAGAGCAAGTTTGGGGAAAGTACTGAGGAATACACAAATCATTAAGTTAAAAG